TAACACGGGACACTTGGACTTTAACACGGGACACTTGGACTTTAACACGGGACACTTGGACTCTAACACGGGACACTTGGACTTTAACACGGGACACTTGGACTCTAACACGGGACACTTGGACTTTAACACGGGACACTTGGACTCTAACACGGGACACTTGGACTTTAACACGGGACACTTGGACTCTAACGCGGGACACTTGGACTCTAACACGGGACACTTGGACTTTAACACGGGACACTTGGACACTAACACGGGACACTTGGACACTAACACGGGACACTTGGACACTAACAAGATGCTGTTGCTTGTCACTTGCTGAGGGTAGTTTCCCATTACTGGACAATCCGGGATCTTTCTCAACCACTTGTCCAGTTGTATCTTGAATGTTGCAAGGGTAAACTCCCCTCCTCTCAGCGCTTTTGGCAAGGCAATAATAGAACCATGGTTTTGGCTTTAAAACCCCGAAAAACCCTTATTCTATGGTTTTAAAACCATGGGCATTAAAGAGCCTCGGTCCTACCACGGACAGTGATCCCTCCCGAAGAGTCTGTACTCTGGCCGCGGCTCGGTTATTAAATGGGGGAATACTACAGTCTGCCCCTAGTAACTGAGCCCGACACACGGGACACTTGGCCCCACACGGGACACTTGGCCCCACACACGTGATACTTGGCCACACACACGGGACACTTGGCCCCACACACGGGACACTTGGCCCCACACACGGGACACTTGGCCCCACACACGNCATGGTTATTAATAGTATGAATTGATTCGTAAAAGGTAATAAGTTGTATTTGTTAGTGGTTAATGGTTTGTTAATATTGATATTAGTGTAGTTAAGCAGGAGTTCTTCATTTGTGCAGGTTTGATTGAAGACCAGAGCATACTTTGCAGGAACAATTTCCTAATTTTTAGCACATTTTCTCATTTATGGAAAAAATGCAATATTGTTTATGCTCGCCATGTCCGTCTGTCCGTCCGTCTGTCTGTCTGTTCGTGACTTCACGTTTTCGTTGACTAGAAAATGCGCTCTCTGTCGCTCACTGCAGTGAGTACTGAGTTATATTTTACGTTCAATGAGCCGAGCGAATTTTCTTGCTGGTGCTAGGAGATCAAAAAGCAGATTACCAAATGACATTTTACTGTAATGCGAAGTTTCGAATATATCAATATTCATTCTCAAGAGGTGAAGAGCTATTGCAACGCTTGAAAGTAAAATTTGGAAATGACATTAGTACATAACACTGTAAGAAAAATCACCGTTAAACGGTCTCACTGGCGTTCTCGTGGCCGGCCGACACGTGAAAAGAAACACCGTACGACCGTTTTTATCGTACGACCGTGGAAATAAATAAATAAATAAAAAATATCTTTGCAAGGATAAAATATCAGTAATATCAGTTTTATTCAAATTTAACACTAGAAACCCGTACAACATCTGAAAACACGGATAAACGGTTTATTTTCCCTTGGCGGCCGGCCACTATATATGGACGCCGGTAAGACCGCTTTTTTTAATGTTTTTTTCTAACTGTGTATAAAAAATATCTTAAATACGGTTCAAAAACTAAACTTAAATTAATCCGAGAATAATTTCAACGCACCGCATGATGCTGGTGCAGGCGTCGGGGCACCGCATGATGCTGGTGCAGGCGTCGGGGCACCGCATGATGCTGGTGCAGGCGTCGGGGCACCGCATGATGCTGGTGCAGGCGTCGGGGGCACCGCATGATGCTGGTGCAGGCGTCGGGGGCACCGCATGATGCTGGTGCAAGGCCTCCAACATGGCACGGGTGAAGGCCTCGTTGTGGGCCTCCCGCATGTGGTTCTTTGGTCCTCCGGCTTGCAATGGCATGTGAGTCTGCGGCTAATGTCGTGCTGGTCAAACCGATGTGATTTACATTTTGGAGAAGTCTACAACCTTATTTTGTCAGGCATAATTTGTAAATAGCATTGGTTTCATGTAGTGGTCTCTCGACTTTCTGCATGATGCATAGAGCTGCGCGTGGCTTAAGAACTCAATTCTGTTTTGACGTTCACTTACGAATTCGGATAAAATCGCACGACGAAAATACAGAATAAGACAAAATAAGGGAAACAGCTGAGAAATATCAGCAAAATATATTTTAGTATGGTGTATGTCCACCTTCTGCGGCAATTATACAGCCTCAATTCTCCGAGGTATTGATTCATACAACTTGTGAATTGTTTCCAAAGGAATTTTAACACATTCAGTTAAAACTCCCTCCAGCTCTTTTGAAGACAATGTCGGCGGGAATCGACTTCTGACTTGCATCTCTAAAATCTACCATAAATGCTCGATTCTTGTCTGGCGATTGTGGTGGCCAAATGAGATGCTCAACTTCATTAGAATGTTCCTCGTGTCATTTTTTAACAATTC